CTCATCTTGGTCCTCGTCGAGTTTTGAGTCGTCGTTTTCGAGGCTTACACTGTCCTCATTACCTTGTGGCCGACATTGTGCTCATTTGGGTCGTTGTTGGCTTCACCAAAGTCGTGGGAGACATATAAAACGAACAAGTGTCCAAGCGAGGTCATAACACTTAGTCATGTGTGACCACGTGATTGCGTTGTTACCCAAAACCGTGCGTTTTTTTTTTTTTGTTTTTTTTTGTTTTTTAACATCGTATACAAGAAACCTACTTAATGAGGTGATAAGAGCATCCCCGTTAAGTAGGCTCCAACGTCGAAGACTCCATCTATTGGTGGAGAGCTACACCTGTTGGAAATCAGGTTCATCGTCCCTGTACAATGATGTGAATGTGTCAGTTGGAAATCGGGTCCAGCGTCCCAATACAGAGATGTGTCAATATGTCATACTTCCTATGTATGTTTGTGAATCAATATATGTCAGATGATGGTAATATCCCATCCATCAGATCTACCAATTCTCAAAAATTGAACGAAGACATCAATCCCAATCCTAACTAACAGACCAGAAGACAAGACCCTAACTTTGATATGATGTGATGTATCAGCTGGAAAATGGGACTAACGTCCCTATACAAAGATTTGTTGATATCTCCTACATTCTAGTCCCACTCCTATCTATCAGACCAGGAGACGAAACCCTGGCTTTGATATGATGTGTATAAGCTAGAGATCATACCCATCGGGTCCAATCGAGTCCAGCGTCTGTAAACAAGGATGTATTGTATATCGTCTAGGAATCGGGCCCTGCGTCCCTAAATACAAAGATGTATGTGCTCTGAACCGAAACCCTAGAGCAGATTTACTGTATGTATGCTGGAAGTCGAGTCTCTCATCTCTATGCTACTATATTACATGCTCACCTGTATCACCAAACCGAGCAGAGTCATCGATTACTTCCCTACTCAGGGGAAGGATTGACCTCCTACTCATAAAACATGTATCTTCTATACAATGATGTATATAGATGTCATATCGCACATATACTCACAAGTAGGGACAAGAATGTAAGCATCAACAATCTTTTCATAAGTACAAATTGAGTACGAGTCGAGAGTTTGAGAGTTGAGAGGCGGTCAACCATACTCAGCGCAGAGAGATCATCTATCCTATCCCCACCTGATGCCAGGAAAGAAGACACGAGTCAGTATAAGAAAACACCGGGTATGGGTAGGGGGGAACGGTAGGTCGTACCTTCAACCACAAGCCCCAGTTCGCAAGCCCTAACACTACTACTTCCCCCCCACTGCATTGTTGGCGGCATCTCGATCATGATGCTGATAAGGCATTTGGATGCCCAATAACTCCTCTCTGCCCCACTGCTCCCGCAGTTATCGTCGCAGCCATCGTCATAATTGTTGTTGTTGTTGTTGTTGTTGCAGTCACTGTTGTTATTATCGTCGTCGTTGTCGTTGTAAATTTTGTTGTCGTCCTTCACATCATTCTCGCCCATTACGCCCACTCCCTGCTCACCGTCATTGTTGTTGTTGTTGTTGTTGTTGTTATCATCCTTCACTCCAATCCCATCTATCTCGCCTATTCGCTGCTCGCCGTTTTTGCTGATGCTGTTATTGTTTTTGTTGTTGTTGTTGTTGTTGTTGTTGTTGATGATGTTGTTGTTGTCAGTCTCCCCACCCTTATCGCCGATCTCGGCCATCCCCTGCCTCTCCTCCACCACAACCACCACCTCTGCGGTGATCCCCTGCTCCACCTCCCACTCATATGGCTGGTCACCATCGGGTCGCACAAACACTTACGTATCGAATATGAGATGTCTCGAGGGACGATCTCCTCACAACATAGGACGGTTGAACAATAAGTCGTCCGGCCTTCACGGCGACTCTACCTTCTAACCTGTGTACGGCGATGGGCGAGGACCGGATGTCCAACGCATAGTGGGTGTCCCTTTGTATTGGACAAGGACTTCGAATTCCAATCCTTGACCCAACGTCCAACTAGACAACAATTGAAATATTGGCAAAAGGGACGAGGCGTATAGAGCTTGAAGATTGTGTTTGTGAGAGTGAGATGCGTGGTAGTTTTGATGTCCTAGTCTACCATCGTAGCGCCGCGCTTAGGAGATCAAAGCCTAAAGTATCGGTTCGCGTGCGGGTTGGATGAGGCGTGACCGCATGTACCCCCTATGCTACAGAGAACGAGAAACACCCTCGGTTAGGCCACCTTTGCGATTGCATGTAAAAACTTCCGCATTTAGTTCAGTAGCTCGACAGGGATACGCCCACCCAAGGGATGGTGACAACTTCCACAGGTGGAAGTAAGTTGTACCTCGCAAGACCCTACCATGTCGTAGGGACTCGATGGAGGTATAGCTAGCGCACTCGACCGGAGTGGCGAAGCTCCTTTTGGTTATGCTGCCTTATGCGACACACCGAATCCTGCATCACTTGGTCGAAAGGGTCCCCTTTGCGGGACCGATGCGCTTGACAGGTAACGTCGTTGCCGAGGATCTCGGCTGCCTACCAGGATCCTAAAGAACGAACTCTGGTCATTGGCAGAATGATGATCCAAACAAAATGACAATCTTATTTTGATCAGACTAATGTGTTAATGATGGGGTGATAAGTTCATTGATCATATTGGAAAACGAAGAGGGTATGGATGTGTATGTTAGTACCATGAGTGTATCATGACACCTATATTGTCAGCTCTCATTAGCACCTTCCTAATCCTGGTATCATAAGTATTTCGATCAATGCTATGCTTGTCTGCCACTGTTAGTTCGACGTCATTCAGATTGATGCGGCTCTGCACGCCCGTTATTGAAGCAAGGGCCGCTAATACCTGTCAACGCTGCTAGTGCTACCTGAGTTGTCATGACAGTGTCATGATACACTTGAGCTAGGAGATCATTTAAATTAAGAAGAGACTCCTCCCCTTTGCTAATGAACCCCTGTTTAGACCGGGTTATCAGTAAAGCCAGTGGTTTGGGTGAGGGGGTGACTGATAAATTGGGGGATTCGATCTTAAGGCTTCTTTTGAATCTTGATTAGGTTGTCCAACCATGGATGGATTGAAACCTGGACCACACATGAGTTGGTATGACTAAGGTTGAGTGTGTGATGACTAAGTATTGCAATGAGTATTGTGACCAGACCTCTGAGAGAAGATCGCTGGTGGTGTCGGTCGATGATGGATTTGAGTCATTTGTGGGTTGCTTAGTTGCATCTATAGATACAGTTGAAGAGTGTACGTCATATTTGATTGGAGGTTTGGCTAATCTGAAGAAAGGACTATGGTGTGAGCATGCTTGGTTAATGCGAATGGATTGTTTGTTTCTATATATGTATATTTAGCATGGTTTGTCTGACGGCTAATTGACGGCGCATGTATGGATTGCCTTCCATTCAAGAGGACATGAAATCTATGTGTAATCCACGTCCCACACAAGAGCGAGGGTGAATGGAGTGACCCGCCTTTGAGGAAAGGTGATTCTTCCTAAAGGAAATCAGCATGTGGAGTATGTTCTCAAGGAAAGAACAATCTTGAGTTGGTACCCCTTCGTTGAATCTTAAGGAAGCAGTTATTAGTCTTGAGAGCGGCAGTGAGACCCACGTCGAAATTATGTTCATGGTCCTTAGTAAGGCATTGTTACCTTTCCTCCTAGCAGGAAAGTAATTACATTATCAGGTAAGAGAGAATAATTTGCAACCTTTCTTAAACTATAATGGCGAAACGGGGCGGCTCCTGCTTAGTAGAGGCGGTTCTGGAGTACCAACCTAGACCCGTCTCGTGTTAAGTAGGACCACCATATTTTGAAGAGTGCGAGTTTGTGGTCTGCTGTTTGGATATGTATGAAGGGGGTTGCCCAACTGACCCTGATTGGATCAGTTAAGTGCAAGCACTAGAATCAAAGGGGGTTGCAATGAGGCTTGATCCTTAAAGCGGGGCTCAGGAGCCAAGATGTTATCCCTTGAGGATTACACCGCCCCTCGACATTATATGCTTCGCTTAAAAGCGAAAACAGGAACAACTGCATTATTGCTATCTTAGAATATCTATTGACAGTTTGATATTCGCACTACCAGGTCGGCCATATATTGGTGTCTATGTTGCATTCCCGTTGCATGATCTGTTGTTATGCCGATTCTACACCCACATTCTGCTATGGCACCTTTTGCTTTTCTGTTATTTAGCAATTATGACTATTATGATATAAATTATCATCGCACCCTGTGCTACTTACTCTACTTTCACCGACTCAGCAAGAGATTGAACCTAGAAAGACATGCATTTGACGGATGGATAAGCACTCGCCACGTCCATCGATCGATTGATAGATAGATAGATAGATAGATAGAGAGAGAGAGAGAGAGAGAGAGAGAGAGAGAGAGAGAGAGAGAGAGAGAGAGAGAGAGAGAGAGAG